CAGCTTTATAAATTAATAATTCTCATTATGCATGCATGACATTTCAAACAGATGTAGTAACATTTTGAGCAAGTTTTTTTTTTTCTTTTTTAAATTACAGTATAAAGTGATTAATTTACTGAAATATAGGATTAAGCATTTAGCATCCAGGACTATCTACTTTTTTATGACAAAGCATATAAAATTTGTTTTAAAGGTGAAGCTATGAATAATAAATGAAGTATTAGAATATATTGATTATTCATACGAATATACATAAAGTGTATTATAAGGCATTTCAGTACTTTAAAAATGCAGTGTATTTGCATATTTCTAGTAAAGTGTTGGATTTCATTCTGGTGTGTTGTTAATATCTGGCTGATATTTTAAGCGGCAGGATCTATGAAGCGCTGCAGTATTTAAATGTTAAAGGTCTCGCTGTGCCCCTGATTTTATGCTTTTGCTTAATTTGAAAAGCTAAAATAAGACAAGTTGACCTCGGCCCCAGAGGACTTGTGGGTAATAAAGCTATTAGACCGCACACTGAGATCAGTGTCGTCTTAAACTCCCATCATGCTCTGCTGCCGGGCGAGAGATTTATCCCGCATCTGGAAGAAAGGAAAGTTATTTAGAGTGTCACACACTGGATTAAAAAGATTAGAGGGATTTTATTTGAGAGAATACTGAAAAACAAGCACACTCAAATACCTTTAGTAAACATTCTTCACCTTTAGGAAACACACTCAAGGCAAAACACATCAAGTGCATTGGGAAAAAAAAATGCACAGATATCAACATACTTCTCCAGCTAATTGATTGCATTAAGAATTGTAAACTTTTTTTTTTATATTACAAGTTTACGGAAATGTTATGGTATGATACAAATATGTCAGTTTCAAATTGAATTTGCACTAATTTACATACATTTTTAGAGAATAAATCTGAAGGTTGGATAAAGCTAGGTTTAAAATTTTTGTTTGATTTTGTTGACATATTAGAGTTAAAGGTTTTTACTGTGGGGATTTTGGAATTCTCATAAATCAGAAAATACTGTCAACAGACAAAAAAAAATAAATTTTCACCATGTTTTTTAGGAATAAAATGTTATATAAATCAGTGTGAATGATATATGAACAAACCCCTCAGTAAAAACCTTCAGAATATAGAGAGGAATAAGTTTTGGTGTGTGTAAGGGCTGCTGAAGTGGAGAAAAAACTCACGGCCTTTAAAGATATGCATTTTCGCCATTTTTTAGGAATAAAATGTTGTATAAATCAGTGTGAATGATATATGAACAAACCCTTCTATAAATACCTTCAGAATATAGAGAGGAATACAACTCTAAGTCTTGGTGTATGTAAGTGCTGCTGAAGTGGAGAAAAAACTTTGAAAGAAATGTATTGTAATTGAAATCTGAAGGCGCAAATAGAGAAAGTGTAATAAAATAATTAATCATTTTGGATGTATTGGTTTGTATTTGGATTTCTTTCAAAAAAGAACAAAATGCATGAAAAAGAACTATGTTTTTGCCTGTGGCATCTTTTCTCAAGTACATGAACACAAGTGCTTACAGCTACACAAGCTTGATTTCACGACCCATTGCGTTACTTAATGTGTCAGTGTGCAAACTTATAATGCAACGCAAATGCATGTTGCATTCTCAGCATTGCTGCAAGTCTCCCTACAGCAGCATTAGCGTAAACCGTCTTCATGTGCGGTTAATTTCCTCTTTCAGATCAAAAACTTTCATAGCAGAGAAGCAGTTTGAAGAAAATCTTGCTGAGTTAGTAAGTTTAAATTAGTCAAACTATTATCTGACTGACTAACAATAACTGGTTTAATGACAGACATTTGAAGGAAACTTTAACACCCTCTTGAGTACTGAGGATTTTTACTGTCACAGTAACACAAGAACACGTGTGTAGTTTGATAGCATGTTGGTCAAGCATGTGTGTATTTGTGTAGAGTGTGTTTCTGGTCAAGCACACACAGGTCTCTGATTATGTAACCCTTGGTCCTCTGTGTGTGTGTGTGTGTGTGTGTGTGTGTGTGT